GATGCCGGCTTCATCATCTCGGGGCATTTCACTGTTTCTTAAATTGACACTGGGCACAGCCCCATAAAATCAAGGGTCTTAAGGAATGCACTTCAGGTGTAAGTGAGAGGAAATGATGGCCTCTCAAAAGTGGTTGTCAGAGATTCTTCATGACTCTTAAAATCCTAAGTGTCTCATAAAAATGTTTTAATATGTTGTTAGTTGTGGGAGAGATTTACTAATTGTGCAGGGGATGACAGCAGTTCAGATAGTGGTAACCAGCTCACATACGCTTCCCAGTTCTATAGTAAAGAGAATGCCAGACTGCGAGATCAGCTTTCATTTACAGGGAATGAAAATTAATTTTGGAAAGGCTGTAAGATTTACCTAAAGTAACATTAGAAGTGGCTGAGTCAGAATTTTAACTCAGAGCTTTTCCCACGGTAGAAAGGAGAAAAAAATCAAATGGAATCTCCTTTCCACCCTCCCTCCAAACCCCTCCGATTTCTGATGAGGCATCTCCTTCTCTTCCCCTTCCCGCCTTATCTTAGCCCCTCACCTTTTTTGATAGGGGTTGACAAGGGTGAGAGGAGAGAAATTCATCCTAGATCAACCACGGGTGGGGAGGGAAGAAAAGCTAGAGCCCTTCATGTTGGTGAGCCTGTGGCTCATGGGGGAGGCGAGCGCACTGCCCAGCTGGCGCCTAGCTTTGAGATGGGAAGAGAAGCTGGAAGAGAAGCTGGGGAGGTGTAGTGGGGTGGCTGGCTGCAGGGGTTGCCTCAGGTGGGTTGAGTTAAGGTGTAGCTACTGCAGAGAAATTAGGAGACCTCCGCGCCTCTGGGAAGCAGGACGGTCCAGCTCCCACACAGCCGGGAGGTCCTGTGCAGACGCCTCTCTCCCCTCGCACTCGGCCCTTTGTGGTTGGCCTCTGCCTCTGGCTCTCGCTCATGCCCTCCGGTCCCCCACCCCCCTCAAGTCACCCCAACTGCACTCATAATATTTTGCTTTGCGCCGGGTCTGTTTTCCACCACCAACTTCCAGCAGTCTCCATGGCGACGCGCTGGGGAGGGGGGCGGGCGCGACTATGGAAATCCCAGGGCCTAGCCGCGGGGCCGCCCTGGCAAACTTTTCGGGTCTCCGGATGCTGCAGGCCGACGGGAAAGCGGACTGTCCCCGGCCTCCGCGCGGAGTCGCGTGTGGGGTAGCCCGGGCCCGGCCTGTGCGCCGCGTCCACGCCGGCAAGGGTTGCAGCCAGCGGGCCTGGGGACCCCGGGACCACGCGGCTCTCGCTTGACCCTGCTGCCAAACCCAGACGCCGGCGCTTGGCAGGTGTTGAGAGTGGGGGCGCGCATGCCCCCCACCCTCGGCCACACACACACACACACACACACACACACACACACTTCCCGGGAGGAAAAAGCATTCTGATTTGGGCGCGGGAGCAAAGCTCAGGCCCTCGGCCCTTCGCTGCTCCGACCCCGCAAGGCTAGGTCCCCGGGCCGGAGAAGGCGGCTCCCGGCCTGAGGCCGCGCCTGGGACAGGATGGCGGAGACCCAGGCCTCTTTCTCACCCGGCAGCTCTCGGCCGTGGGCCCTGCGCCAAAGTCACTAGACGTCCCCACCTGGGGGCCCAAGGAACCAGATCGGGCCTTGCGCTGAGCCAGGGCCTGTAGACCAGCATGCCTTCCAGCCGTACAGGCTCGGGGTGCTCAAATCCCGCTCCAGGGTACTTTGGCCTCCCCAGCTCGATTCTGGAGATCTGGACAGAAAGTGGTTAGAGGCGTAAGCTTCCAGTCCGGAATCGGCAAGTGCGCCTCTCTAACATTCCATCCCGTTTTACGAGAAACAACCCTTCTGTTACGTAGACGACCAACTCCGCCCTGGCCCGCTCCGCACTTCTCCGTGGCCTAAAATTCTACCCACTTTTCTACCTCGTTCTCGAATTCCGCGGTTCCCAGAGTAACTGAGCAACGCTCGCCCGGGCAGGGCAGCCCGGATTGGACTCACAAAGCCACGAACACGTAGCCGCCGCTGGCAGCCCCTGCGGCTGGAGTGGGCCACGCGGGGCTCTGCTCGCTTTTGCGCGGCGTCGGCCTGCGGCGCGGGTCGGGAGGCACGCGCGCCCGCCCCATCTGCAAAGCACGCACTCGCGGGGCTGCGCTTCGACGGCCCCACGCGCGCCCCTGCGGCCTTCGCGGTCGCGCCCGAGCTCCGCGGTTCGGTGGGGCTCTCGGGAGAGGGGCCCTACTTTGTCCGGCTCCGCGGAGGGCAGGTTGAAGGCCCAAGAGGCGCGCGCCGGTGCCCCGGCCTCCCTCGACGGGCCATTGTCTTAGCCCCACACTTGTTTAGTATTTTGGGAAAACTCGAGGAATATATTACCGGCTCGGTGCGCGGAACAAAGGGGCGCGTTTCCGCAGGTCAGGCTGAAGTGGCCCCAAGGCAGACCACTAGAGCCCCGGTCCCTGCAAAACCGCTCTTCGGGCCCGAGGCACTTTGCGGGGATTTTCCTTTTAAGAGTAGGGGACGGAGGACGGGCTCGCCAGCCTCTGATCCCGGACGCTCCCGACTTTGCCCCAGCCCTTGCTGGGAAGCGGCTGTCCCAGCCCTTTCGGAATAAATAATAAAATGGTATTCGTGGTTCTGGACTGGCGCAATCTTCTGTAAATGCAGAATCCAACGGCTCCTAGGAGCGCTAGTCTCAGCACGCCGGGGAGAAAGGACCTTTACATAACAAGGGAAACTCGGAGAAAAGCTAATTGGATTAAGTTCTCTGGAAGGGAGGTGAGGGGAGGCTCCTGGACCGGACCGCGCCGAGCGGCACTTCCCTAGTGAAATGTCACCTGGTGCGCTTCGTGTCATTTCTGAACGCTGCCATTTCCCTAAAGTTTTCTTTTGCGTTCAGGATAGCGGTTTAGGGATGTCTCGGAATTACGAAAAGGGGAGAATTGCAGATGGTGAAAGATTTCGATTTCAGAACGTGTTTAGGGATGTCTATAGTTGAGGGTGAAAGTGATCAGCTGCCTCCACGACCACCAGCTACATCGAAGACCGAAAGCCACACAGCTCACCCCAGATCGCACAGAGACGCTCCAGTCGTGAGAAGGGGGCGGCTAAAACCCCCAGCTGGGCCATGGCCGGTGTGAACTGTGGGGAGACCCCGAGTCCTGCGAGGGCCCCTTGCATATATTTGGCGGCAAAAAGCGCAGACAAGTGTTTAATTTTGTTCAAGCATATATTCGGGGGTGGGGTACCCAGGTGGTACGAGGTAGCACAAGAATTTGACATACAAACATGGAGGGAGAGGCTCTTTACCCTCACTGGTAAAGACCGCCAGCGGAGTAGACCCCAGCTGCCAGGCGCGCGGCAAGCGCCGCTTCCCTTGCCTTCAGGTATCTACACAGTAAGGAGGGCTGCGGGGCTCAGCCCTTCCTCACGCCCAGGGGTCCACACCCACTCAGGGGGGGCTCAGTGGGAGAGGGAGTTGGTTCTTGGGATCAGAGAGACAACAACCCTGGAAAACCGAAGATTCCCCCTAGCCAGAGAGAATGGGTGACCCGGCCACCAGAGCCTGGGCAAAATCCTGGAGGGGCTGGAAATCTTTCCGCCGGGACCGAAGACAGACCATCTGGGGCGAAGCCCGGATGACCCTACCCCCACCCCACATCCATCTCCAGTCCGCTTCAGGGTGGATGTGGGGAAACATTCTTGTGATGTATGTGCATTTGCTCAGAGAAGAACATCGCTATGTGTTAGCGATGGCAGAGGCTGGAAGGCACTTGTTGCTCCGCGCAGCAGCGGATGCTGGTAGGCATCCTCCCAAGATCGCGCCAGGCTGCTGCCTGGGCCCAGGCTGCTCTCACCGCCCTACTTCTGCCTCTCCCCAACCCCGCCTCCCAGAGAAGCCCGAGGCTGCAGCCGAACCGGGACAGAGGAGGACTGGTTGGGAAGAAAACGAACTTCCAGAGAACTTCTTCATCTGGAAGGGACAAAGGGGGCATAACTCAGATCTACAAGTTTGGCGGCTCTTCAAAGGCGTTAGACGTGGAAGGTGGCGAAGGTTCTTCTGGAGAAAGAACGGAGACACCAGGCTTTTTTGATGTAAGAGATTTCTTGGCTTTCTTCCTCGGGTGTTACGGACCAACACGACCCCAAAACCTGACGCCCACAACCAACAGCCCTCAAAATGCTGAGCGATGTGCAGACCCTGTCACCAGGCCTCGCCTGCCGCGGTGCATCCTGCCCCCCCACCTCCAGCAGTTAGAGCTCCGGAGCCGAGCGCCTCGTCGGGTGCCCTTTCCCGGCAGGGGGCTACACCCCGCCTCGGACAGCCCGGGGCTCCCACCTCCCGACCGGGCGCGGATTTCCCAGGACCACCGGGTTGGCTGCCGCCACTCCCTCCAGCTGCGCGTCTCCACCAGTCGGAGCCTCGGTCCCCACCTCCCAGGCACTGCGCGGAGCGGTTGCCCTCCCCGCCTCTGGGGAGTTCCGCTCGGCTTCCTGGCTCTAGCCACCAGGCCCCGAGCGCACCGCTATTCGGGGGCCCCCAAACCCGGGGGAGGAGCCGGGTCCGGGAAGGGGCGGTCGGCTCGCAAAGTTTCTGCTAGTGGCACCTCGAGCTCGCTGCGAGCCAGAGAAACTTTACGTAACTTTGTATTCAGGGCAAGTGAAAGCACGCTCCTCATCGCGCGCGCGCGCGCACACACACACACACACACACAGACACAATCACACGCTTATACACGCTCACACGCACTTCCACGCATCCACTTACACACATCGCGCATCGTGCGGGATTGAAAACTTCTGCACGCTCTCCACTGTTTTCTGGCGTTTCCACTGTCGAGTTGTCCCTTCGCAACTTTTTGTAACTTAAGACCAAACCGGGAGGGGCGGGCACGAGAGGAGAGGGAAAGGAGTGGGGCCCACTCGTGGCCTCGGGGGCGACTTCCCAGGCTCTGTGCTCCCCTTCTCCATTTCTTTCCCTCCCAAATGTCTCCCCCAACCCCCACCATTAGGACTAACCTGTGGAATCCATGTCGGGTTCCTCCAGTAACCCACAGTGCATGCTCTTCCCATGGACAGCACAGGCGCCCCCCAAAATCCTGATGTTTGGGAATCCCCCGTGCCAGAGATGCCCAGCGAGAAGGGGAGTGAGGAGGGGAGAAAGCGAGAGGGCCGCGGAGGGTGCAAGGGCGAGAGAATAAAGGAGGAAAGGAAAGAAAGAAAGAGAAAAGAAGAGAGAAAGAAGAGAGAGCGAGAGGGGAGAGCGCGCGGAGAAGGGGGAGACAGAGCGAGCGACCGAGCGAGGGGACCCTCGGTAATCCAGCCGGGCAAAGCCAAACCCGTCAAAATGTTTGCGGATGTTTCATGGGAAAAAGCATCATTTTATAGGAGCCCCGATGGGAGCAATGTCATTGATAGGCCAGCCGGCCTGATGAATGGCCGCTCGTCAGATGGGGCCGTGGCGAGGCGCACTGTGAAGCCCATTGTGGGCCTGTTTTGAATAAGAAAAGCCGCCTCCGAAAAGGGGGGCTCGGAGCGACGCAATCCCAGCCCTCCGACTTCCCCCTTCTATTATAGCATTAGCAACGTTTTTCTTATTTAAAGTTCCAGAGGCCTTCTCCAGCCCTCGCCCGGCACTCATTACAGGCGAAATCAAAATTGGCTTAGATGCGGCCCCCTCCCCCTTCCCTCCCCCTCCCCCGCCGGATCGAGCCCGGCGCGGCGCGGTTTGGCTGGGTGGGGGGCTCGGGAGAGCCGGGGGCGCCGCCTCCGCAGCCACGAGTGGGCCCCGCGCCCTTCGCTCTCCTCTCGTGCCCCCCTCCCGGGTTGGTCCTGGGTCAGATCTTAAGCGGGGGCCCCGGGAATGCGGGAGGAGGTGCGCCTTGGTCCCCTTCCACGCGGGTCCGCGGACACGAGCGGGGTAGAGGAGCGGGGGAAGGGGAACCCGGCCCCCAGACCGCACCGCCAGGCTGGGCGGAGGCTGGGCGGGGCCGACCCGTCTCCTCCAGAACTTTCTCCATCCTGCTCTGGTTCCCTCTCCTTCGTGTCTCACGCCTCTCCCCGTCTCTCCCTCTCGGCCTGTCTCCCTCTGTCCCCCACTCTGTCCCCTCGTCTCGTCCTTGCTCCCTTTCTCCGGTGTCCAGCCCCTGCCTCCACGTCTTTGTCTCACCCCGGGACGCTGCCCCTCCGTCTCTATCCCCCTCGGTCCCTCCGACACCCCCTCCCCGCCTCTTCCCGTAAACTCTGTAGGTCGGTCTGTGTCTCAGCCCCTCCGCCCTCGCCCCGCCGCCCCCCGCCCCCCAGCCAGCCGCGGAGTTTGTGAGAAGCCCCGGCATCCAAGTGGGGACGCGTTTTTCCCAGGGACCCCTCCTCGGCCGAGTTTAAAGTGCAGAAAGGCGGGGGCGACAAGCTGGGGGGCTGGAAGTGGAAGTGGGGGGGCCGGCTGCGCCTCCGCGGGCCCCGATAAAGTGGCCGTTCGCGGGCCGGCCGCTCTGTGATTAGAATATGAATGGGGCTCGGCAGGCGGAAGAGAAAGGCGGATTACGCGGGTGCTTTGACCATGGACAGAGGCAGCGCCGCCGGCCGCGGGAGGGGCGGGGTCCCTAACGCCGAGCGAGGGGTTCTCTCACCCGGAACCCCACGCTGGGCTCGCTTCCCGCGGTCGCTCGGAAGGCCCCCCGCTCTGCCCTCCCCAAGCAGGGCTAAGTGGGACAATGTGGAGAGGGGGGCGAGGGGCCAGCACGCGCCGAGTTAAGGTCACGGCGCGGGAGCCGGGAGGCGGCGCGGAGTGCGGGCTGGACGCAGCCCGGGCCTGGCGGACTTGAGGGCAAGGGGTTCGAACTCGACTCGCAAATTTCTTAATCTTTCTAGGCCTCAGCTTCCTCGTCTGTATAATGGGGCAAAGATGTCCCCTCGCCAAGTTGGGGGGAAGATGAGCGAGGCAGTGGCTGTGAAAGGAGCTAGGCCCTTGCCGTTCGCTCTGCTTGGAGCCCTCCTTGCCATCTCCGCGCTCCTAACGCGTCCCGGCGCGGCGGCTCCTTCCCACCACCCTGGTCTGAGTCAATGACGCCTCCTCGGAGTCGCTGTGCCCGACCCCTCTGTGGGAGCGACCTCTCTGCTCCGGCCACTGCCTGGTTCATTACCAGTTTGCTTAGCAGGAATGCTGTTCACAGCCGCAGGCACAGGACCCAGAACAGCGCCACATCCTTTCCCACGGCGATGGTTGGTGAAGGGAGGCGGGGTATCCACGAAAACTTCGGGCAACCGAAAGGGACGGTGGCGACCACCGCAGTCGTCGTGGTGTGCATGAAGATAAAGACAGCGGGATTCGGAGTCAGGTGGTCTGAGCGGCTGGGTGCACCTCTCACATCCTCAATTTCCCCCTCCACGAAATGGGGCGAATGATAAACGCCTCCTTCAGTCGGCGGCAGGGGCGGATCAGAAGGTAGAAGGCCCAGAGCTTGACCAAGTGCCTTGCGGAGGCAGCGCGGAGGGCGCAGTTTGCCACCAACCAAGAATACTTCGGGTCCCCGGAAGGAGCACCCTTAGGAAACCAGTGATTTCCAGAGGACGGAAGCGACTATTACAGCTGTTACTATTTTTTAAAATTATGATACACGCGAAATGGAGGGTGGGCCAGGTTCGCCGAGAGAGGTGGGGGCGTGAAAGGAGAGTGAGGAGAGGACTGCTAGGTGGGCCGCGCAAGATGGGGTGCGTGCCCCTCACAGCTCACGGCACAGGCAAGGCTGGGTGCAGATGGCAGGGGCCTGCGCCATCTAGCCTGGAAGCACACTCAGCCACGATGCCGCAGCAGCACCTCGGAGCTTAGAGAAATGGAAGTAAACACTTAATCATTCCTTAGCAAATTTTTATTGCACACCTACTATGTGCCCGGCACTACTGTAGGCGCTAGGAAAACAGCAGTGACCAAAATAGACTAAAAAATATTCCTGAAGTCCTCCTGGAACTTACATTGGAGCGATGGGTGGTGGATAATATATAATTAGATTATATAAGTTGTAATATGGATGTGACCAGGGAGCGCCTGGGAAAGTAACATTTGAGTTTTACAATAGTGCTGTTCTAGGGCCTGGGGACAAGGGTGTGTTCATTTGTGACACTTAAGATTGTATGCATTTTTCTGAAAGTATTCCAAACTTCAATAAAATGTTCTAGATTTAACGCTAACGTTATGACAACTATAATTTACTCTTCATGTACTAACTGTGCTTCTGCTGTGATAGGCATTGCCACATATTATCTCATTCAATTTGCACAATACAACTACCAGTTAAGTATTATTGTCCCACTTTTAGCAAAGAGGAAAGCTTGTCTTTGTGGCTCTCTTGCCCTTGGACACAATAATGAACTATCCAGTTATTATTCTCCAGAGCTCAAAATCTAAAGCAAACATAGCAAAGGCAATCAGTGGAGAAAGTGAGGGGGCTGTGGGAACCCAGAGGGTGGACATGAACATGAATCTAAGCCTGGGAGGCTGGTGAAAGCAGGCCTCCTCTAGGAAGTGGTAACTAAGCCAGCAGCTGAATTCACCAGTGAAGGGGTGAAGGGGTATTACAGAGAGAGGCAAGGATGTGTGGCATGTTTGAGGGCTGGAACCTGGCATGGCTGCATTGAAAGGGGAGGAGGAAGTAATGGGCAATTTCTTTGGGAGGTAAACAAGGATAGATCGGGAGGGTCATGCTAAGAAATTTATCCTGGAAGGGTTCTGAGCTTCCAAGACTAGATTTGTGTTTTGGAGATACCACTGTGGTTCTAGTGTGACTGCAGGATGCGGTTGGTTACTAGAAGTGGAGGTTGTTGGAAGAGAAAGATTAAAATGGCCTGAAATAGACATGGCAGTGGGGGCAGGGAGACATGACTGAGTTTAGGAGATACTGACAAGGCTGCATCCACCAGCCTTGGTGCTGATTGCATGTGGCCAGTGAGGGGCAGGGAGCTATGATGCCCGAGTGTCTGACTAGGGCTACTGATGCCATTCACAGAGGTGGTCCGATTGGGGGTGGGCGTGGCAGGAGGAGGGAAGATCGGGCAGCGGGGGAGAGATGATTTGAAGGGCCAGTAGTCTAGTAGAAATGACAGGCAGGCGCTCCTACAAAGGCACGGAGTTGGCACTGCTGTGTAGATCTGGGTGCTCCTGAAGCCCTCACAGTGGAGGAATGAGCAGTGCAGTAGAGGAAGGGGTGGAAGGGATCCCCCTTAGATCAGCTGGCACACTCTGCCTTCATTGTGGTCGTCTCCATGGTGCCCTGTCTTTCCCAGTCCCACCACTTTATTGTAATTATTTGCTTGTTCCATGTTTTATTTTCTCCACAGAGCTTACTACCACTTAAAATTGTTTATTTCCTGTTCACTGTATGCCTTCCACACCAGAATGCCAGAATGCCACACCTGTCCTTCTTGCTCACCGCTGTCGCCCCTGTCTTGGTGCATTTACTGACTGCTATGGTTGGCCCATCCACTGGCCCATCTCTGGCTGACTGGTAGCAGGTGACACACACTCACGAGAGCACAGGACGATGGTGCAGTGAAGTCACTAGACACAAGTGCTACACTTAGCATAGTACTGAAAGGTTCTTAGTTACTCTAAGTGAAAATCAGAGCTCTGTCCAACTGACTCTAAGATCTAAAGGACATTATTGCCTCTTCAAAAAATCTCCAAAACATGTACACAGTAATATCTTGGGGTTGCATTATTGGTGGTGGGGGGGTCTAAGCTTGGATCACTGTCAGTAGAGAATCCCCTGCTGGGTAAGACGTCCCTCCTTCCTTTTTCTCTTCCTTTCTCCCCTCTTCTCCCTCCCTCCCCGCCTCCCCACCCCGTCTCTTTCTTTCCTTCTGCCAGTCATTGAACTACCAGTCAGCGCCAGGCTGTGCTCTAGGCAGAGGCTCAGAGGTAAACAGGATAGACAAGCTTCCCGCCCTCCTGGAGTTTACATTGTTGGGAGGGTTGACAATAAACAAAGCTAATGATAAACATCATTCCTGCTTTCATGGATCTTATTTTACAGTAAAGACATGAGCCCCAACCTTACATTTGTTTATGATTCATTTGCTAATTAGTTAAGTAATCACCTCAACAAATATTGCCTTACACCTTCTACATAACGTCTGTGAGGTGTGGGGACAATCTGACAAGACTGTGTTCACCTTAACTTGCCTTGGTTCCGTGAAGGACGGTGGAGAAGAGCAGCTATTCAGCAGCTGGTAAGTGCTCCCCAAGAGGGTTGCCTGGAACCACTAGGGGAGGAAGGGACCCCGCTCACTCTGCCACCACCTGAGGGCTGAATTGATTTCTGCTGACAACTGCCATGTATAGTCAGAAAATGCAAAAGGATATATGCAGAGCTTTTAAAAGAATAGCACATAGATGGTATTGTATATTTCTTATTACATCATACTGGGACTCACATGTTTCTCTGGGTTCAGGTGGGGTTCTTCCA